ATTTAAACATTTTTATCTGCAGTAAAATACATGCTAAAATGAGATTAAATTGTTTTCGCATTTCTTTTGGTATTAAAAATGTACGATGAACGAGAACGATTAGTCTTCCTCAGATAAATTTTTTTCTTTTACTTTTAGTTTTTCAGTAGTTATTATCATTCAAAATCTAATTTTTGATTCATATACTAATTATCTTTAATAAATTGCCTTTCATCTATTTTTGAAATTAAAAAAATGAGATTTATTAAATTGTTATTATCATTTTGCATTTTGCTGCATGAAAGATTGATAAAAAAAAAATCATTCATTGGTTGTCGATATTTGCGAATTGTTTTCTTTTAATATGTATGTATCGATGTATAAGAATGTCTTGAGAAAGAAATAACTCACCACATTTAAAATTCTTTTGTATTTAAGAGAGAGAGAGAGAGAAAGGAGAGAGAGAGAAAAAAGATATTTAAAGCAGTGAAGAACCAGTTCTTCATCAATTTCTATCATCAAAGTTCGTGATGGCAAGCAAAGAGAGATTGATTGTTACTTAGGCCATCATTTACTTCCACAGTAGAGAAAATGATCTTTGCGAATTCGATCGAGAATAGTGAGTAAAAAGTTATTTACTTACAGTTATTTACAGTCAACATATGTCGATTACTTTGATTTGCACTCTCATGACTTTTTCCATTCAATTTTTGCTATTTTCCGGGAAGAGGAGGAGAAATAGTAAATTGTCGGTCATCAATGAACGATTGCGTTGGAACTAAATTTGTTTACGTGTTCATTAAATCTAATTGATTGCTGTAATTTCTCTGCTATGTTTAAGATTTTAAAAAATAGAAGATAAATTTGTTGAAAGAATAATTTTAAAATATTGTGCTAATAAGAGGTAAATTAGAAAATGGTAAAAATTGAGTAGAAAAAAATCATATATTTAATAATTTTTGTAAATAAACAGTTATTTGATGAGTTTTTTCTCAAAGACTTTGTTATAACATTTGTTAACTTTAACTAATCCTTATGAAAATATTGTAACAGAAAGCTGCAGTTAGAGTTACTCTTTTCTTATAATTGAATTCCGAATTCATTCCAATTTGAAAATATATGAATGGTATAGAAGAGAGAAGAAGAAAGAATAATTGGTCATCAGTAAACGATTGCAGTAATACTAAAAAGTCGATCAGTCCATTTCATGCTTGAATTCATTTTTCTATCATTAAATTTGAAATGTAAAATTGAACGGTGCAATAATATAAAGAAGGCTTTCTTTCGCTTTTCTTTTATTCTTACCTCTCTCAAAAAAAGCTTTTTGTGATTTCAAAATGATGCATAAAACGTTGAGATAATACAAATATATATGTATGTGTGTGTGTGTGTGTGTGTGTGTG